TATCGGGCCCATCCAGGTACAGACTGATATTTCTAGGGAATGCTTGTACGGAGAATGGACATACTGCTAGGAGCTGGAAAATATGCACTCCACAGAGGGCTCATGGGAAGGGGAGGAGATATGCTCTCCACAGAGGGCTCATGGGAAGGGGAGGAGATATGCTCTCCACAGAGGGCTCATGGGAAGGGGAGGAAGTCTGCTGACCTCAGAAGGCTCATGGGAGAAGACCAGTGACAGATAATAGAAAAGGCTATGCTCCAATCGGAATGTACATCCTGTGTATAGGCACTCCCCATTGCATTGTTCTGTGGGAGGGGTTTGACCTTATTCATGTGGGGGGGGGGGCGTGTGTGTATTTGTAATAAAACCAGAGGGGAGAATGAAAACTGCCCTTATGTGAATTCAACCATCAACCTGAAGGTGTCGTGTGATCATTTCCAGGTATAGGGAGCTCCAAACACCCACATTTCAACAGAAGCTAAAGTAGTTGGATGGGCAGGAATCGTGTAGTTTAACTGCAGTCGTGGTAAGCGAGATTCACACAGCTTTATGGGGGATTTCTGCGCATCCAACTGCGAGTACTCACGGTAAGGAGAAATTCGTTAAAGCGAATTTCCAAGACAACACCTATCCATTAAGACATCCATTGACTAACAATTTATGTTTATTTTTACATTATATGCTATATACTCATCCAGCATCATGACAAGCCCTCTGGATGAATTGTCCATTTGATACATCGCTCACTAATGAATCATGGAATAAGACTAACTATTTATTATCTATTATGTTTCATCATGTATTATCTATCATCATCATCTTCATTGGTGTCATCGCTAAGTTGATATATTACATGCATACTAAGTGGTGTATGCAAAATGTGGTTTTATATATTTTATATTTTACGTTTGTCTATATTATTTCTCTCTGATGGCATTACAAATAGTGATTGTCTGTTGACGATATCTTGGCCCCTCCTACTAACCTGAGACTGCCCAACCCAGTGGGGAGGGCCTAGGTTCAGTCCAGGAGTATATATAGGAGAGAGCACTCACAGTTCAGTTAGCTCTGATGAAGAAGGGACCCCATTTGAAACGCGTCAGCTATACTGAACACCCATTCCCCTGATGGGACTCATGTTATCTTCAAGTCCCTGTGAGGACTTACATGCCTGATTTTATTCGCTGTTTGTGAGTATATTTTTTACAAATAATAAATTTTGGTTACTGAGGTAATGCGCAAGGTTGGTGCGCTTCTCGTTTTCATTTCATTCTGCAGCTTCAAAGCTCTATAGCCTTGAACAGGATATGGAGGAGGGGGTTCAATCCTCTGTATGCCGTTTGTAACCCCTTTAGGGAGATTTTCACTCCTTTCCAGCAACAAAACGGGAAAATGATAGAAGGACTAGAATTTCCCTTTTGATAGCACACTGTTACAATATCATGCAGTTCTGGCATGCAACACTCGGAATGCAGTGCGGTCTTCTCAGAATGAAAGAGGATTTGGAGAGAATGAATGATGATGTGAAAAAAAAAAAGCGGCGGCAGTGGGAAAATTGTCAACATGTAAAGTACCACTCCGAGGGACAAAAATAGCCACGGCTAAAAAGTTTTGTCTTGAAAGGAATGTGACATAGGAAACTACAAGCATGTTAACCATCCGTAATGCAAACATCTCAATCTACGCTTAGCAACGCTGAAGCCGCGTTGTCTGCAAACAATACAAGAGAGCTCATAATGGGGTGGGGGGGCGGAGGAGGGCAGAGTGATGGCGGTTAAACTTTCAGCAGGCCCAGCCGCCCCTTGACCACAGTCCATGAGAGCCAATAAGCCTTCACAGGCCAAAGAATCCTCGGTGAGCACTGCAAATATTTTCACCGTTTTCCAAAGTCTCTCTGAATTTCTGCATTCACATTTTGGAGTCTGGATATTTTATTTCATTGCTCTATCCAAGGGTAAAAAAAAAAAAAAAAAAAAGGTTTAGCTGGAGTTTTACTTTAACCACTTTCCCTCTAGAGGATTTACCCCCCTTCCTGACCAGGCCATTTTTTACAATACAGCAATGCATTACTTTAACTGACAATTACGCGGTCATGCAACACTGCATCCAAATGAAATTTACGTCCTTTTTTCCTACAAATTGAGCTTATTTCGGTGGTATTTGATCGCCTGTGCTTTTTTTATGCTATTAAAAAAAAAAGATCAACAATTTTGAGAAAAAAACAATACTTTTGACTTTTTGCTATTAAACATGGCCAGTAAAAAAATAAAAAAAAATAAAAAAATGTTGTCATAAATTTAGGCCAAAATGTATTCTGCTACATGTCTTTGCTAAAAAAAAATCCCAATACGTGTAAATTGATTGTTTACGTGAAAGTTATAGTGTTTACAAATGGCGGTATAGATAATGATATTTTTTTTTCTACTAGTAATGGCGGTGATCAGTGACTTTTAGCGGGACTGCGGCGGACATTCTGACACTGGGTGGGGGGAAACTAACTTGGTGTCACTGACACCAATACAGTGATCAGTGCTAAAAAAAAAAAGCACTGACACTGTACTAATGACACTGGGCAGGTAGGGGTTAATGTGAGGGGCGATCAAAGGGGTAACTGTGTACAGGGAGTGTTTTACTAGGGGGGGGGGACTGGTTCTTCACTGTAACCATACTGATCGGGATGGCTGTACTGTGCACAGCCATCCAGAGCAGTGTGCTCGAGCTGACAGGGAGGAAGACTGTTTGTAAACAAAACAATCTTCCTTCCCGTCGGAGATGCTTGGTAATCACTGGGAGCTGGTGGGTAATCACCGGCCGGGACCCGGTCACTGATATCCGTGGCCACGAATGGCGGCGCGGGACGGGTGTCTTTTTTTTTCCCACAGATGGAGCTTTCTTTTCGGTGATATTTGATCGTCTGTGCTTTTTAATTTTTTTTTGCTATAAACAAAAAAAGTCTGACAATTTTGAGAAAAAAAAAACAATACTTTTGACTTTTTGCTATTAAACATGACCAGTAAAAACATTTTTAAAAATCTAATTTCGTCATAAATTTAGGCCAAAATGTATTCTGTGACATGTCTGCTAAAAAAAATCCCAATACGTGTAAATTAATTGTTTTACGTGAAAGTTATAGGGTCTACAAATGGCGGTATAGATACTGGAATTTATTTTTTTCTTTTGTTATACTAGTAATAGCAGCAATCAGCGACTTATAGCGGGACTGCGGCGGGCATTCTGACACTGGGGGGAACTGATGGTGTCTTTGACACCCCTAGTGACACCAATACAGTGATCAGTGCTAATAAAAAAGGCACTGACACTGTACTAATGGCACTGGGCAGAAAGGGGTTAACATGTGGGGCGATCAAAGGGTTAACTGTGTGTTGTTTCACATTACAGTATGTGCTGTGTCTGTGTGCTTTCAACTGTAAGCACACTGCTTTGTATGGCTCTGCTATGCAGAGCCATACAAAGCAGTGTGCAGGAGCTGATGGGAGAGAACTGTATTGTTTACATACAGTTTTCTCTCCCCGTTGGTAATACTCAGCAATCACCAGGTGCTAGCAAGTAAACACCAGACAGGACCCGGTGATTGACAGCCGAGGCCGCGAATTGCGGCGCAGGTAGGGGCTCACGTGTGCCCCCTACCCGGAACTGAAAAATCACGTGTATATATTATATATATATATATATATATATACACATATATACACACACACACCAGATTTTGCACACCTGTGCTGCTCTGTAGCAGTATTCGTTCTATAGGGCAGACGGCATGCGGTTAATAGGCAATAATTCCATACAGCTGATATGTACCCATTCTCTGAGGCTATGTTCACATATGTGCGGGTGGTGCCGCTGCGGATCCACATGAAAATCCAGGCAACCGCACCACCCGCACAGAGAAATGTGGACCCGTGGGTGGGTGCCGTTAATTCTAATGGAAAACGCAACTGTACTGGGAACCAAAGTTCCTGTGCGGCTGCGTTTTCGGAAGATGTGCAGCGATTTCTTCCCTACGTGTCCTGGGGCACGGGAGTCCATTCAAATGAATGGGCTCTCGTGCCTGTGCAAAACGTGGCCCACATGGCTGCATATATGTGAACCAGGGCTTATAGAGGATGCCTGCAAGCAGCTCAGCCCTAATAAAAAAGTAAACAAACAGCACTGCATGGGGGTGAGCGCATTTGGTGCTGGTATGCAAAACAGACCGAGGTATTGCAATCAGGACAAGCAAGCTTTCCCCCCTGCCCTTCCTTAGGCCGGCCACACACATGATGGAGGCTCAGAGAATATTTCTGAAAAGTCAACTCCAGGCAGATATAAAAGACACAAAAAGTCATACTAAAGGCATTTTTAAAATAAAAGGAGGTTATACCTGTCTGCTCTGTGTAATGATATTTCACTTACCTCCTCTTCTGGCAGTCCCTGTTGGTGATTTGTAGATTTGTATTTTTAAAGATACACAGTATATTTGAAATGTATTTTTAAATATATTTTTTTAATATATTTTGTATAAAAATGCATTTCAACATGCAGTATATGTATATATTGAATATGGCCAAAATTGTAGCATTTCAAATATATGTCAATATATTTTGGAAGAATATTTTTTAAATATATTTCAAATCAATTTTTCTTCCATATGGGAGGATAGGGCTTGGATATTTCGTCAAACACCTGAGGCCCATATGACATGGGGTTCCCAGGTCACTTGCTGGATGCTACATTTTTGGGGTTGCTCCTTACTGAGAAGAGAGCTCTGATGAAGAGGGGGTACCCTCGAAACGGGTAAGCTGTCTTGGATCCTGGACGACACTTCTGCTGGCGTTGGGTCCACTTGGGTCTTTACATCACTTGCCATATACTGTATTAGTTATGGGTTGTGTAGCATGTTTTTAGCTCTTCATACTACTACTAATACGGTATGCCGTTCCTTCAGAGTTGCGTGCAGCAGCCGGACTCCTTACTGAGAAGAGAGCTCTGATGAAGAGGGGTACCCTCGAAACGGGTAAGCTGTCTTGGATCCTGGACGACACTTCTGCTGGCGTTGGGTCCACTTGGGTCTTTACATCATTTGTGCCATGAATGTTGGTTTTTCACTTGCCATATACTGTATTAGTTAGGAAGCATGTTTGTGAGCATGTTTTTAGCTCTTCATACTACTACTAATACGGGTATGTCCGTTCCTTCAGAGTTGCGTGCAGCAGCCGGGACTCCCACGAGCATGCACGACAGAATCATCATAACCCCCTTGCGACCAAAGAATAAGAAGAAAATCAAGCAGCCAAAAGCATGTGGACGCAAAAAGTTGTGGGATAGTGTTCCTGGAACAAAATTAGAACTGAAGGACCGCTAGGTGGAAAATGGAAGATGCACCTTGCCTACTGCTGGTGGGGGGTCTTCGTTTTTGCAGACAGGGAAGCTAAGTCTTTCATAATGGAATGCTAGTATGCACCGTCACACACTAGCACATTATGATGTTGAGATCACTTTCAACACAATGATCCCAAGCATGCCACATGCTCCGAGGTGGGACTTAAAGAAAGCAGTTGCAGTGCGCAAGCCTAAGAATGTGACTGAACTGGAGGCCTTTGCCCATGAAGAATGGGCGAAGAAACCCGTAAGATCGCTGCAAGACACTGTCAAGCTATGCTTCAACGTTTAAAAGCTGTTACAAACTGCAAGATTGAATGTCACTTTTGAGGAGATATTAAATTTTCACCTACAGGTAATTTTGGTCACAGCTAAGCTTTACTGTAAGTTTACCTGTAGGTAAAAAAGAATCGCTTTAACCGATCCTGCATTCCTCCATGCTGCTAGGCCAGTCTTCACAGAGTCTTCTCCCCCCATGCTCCAGTGGTCTAAGGTCCTGATGTCATCAAGACAAATGCAAGGTCCATAGCTTTGCACTGGATGTAATGATTCCAAGAGACAGTCCTCTGCTGGGCATGGGTAGCACCATCTCCCAGGGGTACAGAGGATCAGGCAAGTTAAAGTGCCTCTTCTCTCCCCTAGACTAAACAAGCAGTTAACACTTGCAGTGGGGTTGCCCATCAAAACCAAAAGAAAAAAAAAATTCTAGCTTAACAGATTTTTCCAGCCATGGTAAAAAAAAAAAACTTGATCTCTTGCATTAACAATCATTCAAGACCCTATCATAGCCATGTGGACTTTCAACTCAAAATCGCACAAACAATGGAGTCCATCAGTTGGGGACTTTTGTGCGTCACCGGGTCATATATCACCAGCCCAGGGCACAAGGCAGCCTTGGGAGAAAAGCTTGATAACCTTTGCCTACTTCCATTGAATTCTCTAAGCAAACACAAGACGGGGCAGTCAATGTGTATATACGATATTGAATGGGAACAATTAGACGGTACTTAACACCAGCCGCTGTAGCCAACAGCTACAAGACCAATAATTCTCCTGTGTCCTGCAATGCCTGGCCTACGCATTCCGACCATTGTGACGGCAAACTTATGGCATTCGGAAAATAGCTGCTGGAACAGGTTTAAAGAACTGAGCCTCAGAGTTGCCAGGCCAGCAGTGAAAAATCTCAGCTTCGTTAGAGGGAACGCATTAAGACGGGAATAGTTAATTAGCATGGAAAGATCACAAGGCTTCTACAAACAGCCCGTATTTAAGGACTTGTGTTGACAGAGCCTTTTTTTGGCCATGTTTGCCATCAGCCTTGTTTTGTTGAGAGGTGACCTTCAGATGTATACACTGGTGTAAAGGAACGGACTTCCAAAAACGTGAACGAAAAGAAGAGTCGGTCAGTAATTTATCTTGAGGGTTTATTTTAATTTTAAAGGCTCTGCAGTGTTAGGGCTCGTTTATACTTGTGGTTGGGAGGTGGTAAAAACACCCAGTTGAGCTGTGTTTTTACTGCCCCCCTCCAAGCGCACCCCTTAAAATGTTACTAAACCTAGGTCCCTGCATTCACCATAATGGTCTCCCGCAGTACACATAACATGGAAATGCAATTATTTTAGTAAATATATACTGCTAAATACCTTTTATAATCAGCAGTCAGCAGTCATGTAACTTTAATCAGTGTCCAGTTAAGCACTGGTTAAAGCTTGTAAGAGGAGTTTTCTTTCTCCCCTGCATTCACTATATCCAGTCTCCCACAGTACATTTAATTATTTTAGTAAATAAAAATTGCTAAATATCTTTTCTCATCAGCAGTTAGAGCAATCTTGTAACTTCAGCTGAGCACTGGTTAAAGCTTGTAGGAGGAGTTTTCATTCTCCCCTGACTGTCCTATGAGGCTGTATGACCTCTGATCCTCTGTCTGGACAGTGCTGATTGGCCCTGTGCTGATCATACACACTCCCAAAGAAAAGAAAAAACCTCTCTAGCAATACACGCCAAACCGAGCATGTGCAGCTTACCCCCAAGGCTCTGTTCTATCAACAGATGGATTGGGGACAGTAGAAGGGGAGGATCAGAGATGACAGGATTAAACAGCCTTTTTACACAATGTAGAATATTAACATCTTAGGTTCCACAGTGAGTATAACAAGCATGATTTACTGCATATACAGACTGATTTTACGGTTGTGGGTTCAGTAACACTTTAAGCTGACAGATGTACACAAGCTGCGGCCACTATGCATTGGTTCTTGGCTGCGGCACTTGTCACATTCGGCAGACAGTACTGCCAGCAAGTAAATTGGGCTAAGCCACAGCCACATGCAATGCATTGTCGCAGGGTGACAGTGTGGCTTTTGGGGGGTTAAAACAGATGGTGAGGAGGCAATATAAAGCCACCGCCACAATTTGTTGTGGATTGTTTTTCAGAGTGCAGCTAAGCAGCCGAAGTCCGTCATCATTTCTATTTTTTTTCTTTATTTTTATGTCAAAGGTCAATTTAAGCTGGCACAAATGTGCCGCAACTATGAGACAACCGTCTGGAAATTTAGGTATGATTCTATGCCGTGGGTATTGATACAATGTAGATTGGTGTGAGGAAGCTGTCGGGAGCCACATGAAAGTCAGCTTAGAACAACATGTGTAGACCGAGCCACTGGTGGTTGATTACTTTGATATTATAATGTCACATGACTAATGCTGGCCATACATTATACAATTTTCTTGTTCAATTTTTCTTTAGATTTACCAAAACTATATAATATAAGATCAAACCTAAACACTTTCAACTTGCATGCAATCAGGAAGGCCCTTGCAGTATATAGTTGATGGTAAATCTAAAGGAAATATCATGAGAAAATTGTATAATCTATGGCCATCATAACGTCCTGCTCAGTGCTGGTCAAAGATGTAGACTTATGTTGCCTGTGACCTCCTGGAACTGTTCCCATTCAAAGACCCACGAGCCTTGCAAATGGTCTGTCCTGAGACGTCACAGTGGAATTGGGTTACGGTGTCGGGATTCTTCCTTACATTCCCTTGCAGAGTGGAGTTGACATTGGCAGAAAAGTCAGACAGACTGACAGGACGGACTCCCCATCCCAGGTG